TTTTTTTTTTTTTTTTTTTTTTTTTTTTGAGACAGAATCTCATTTTGTCACCCTTGGTAGAGTGCTATGGCATCACAGCTCAGAGCAACCTCAAACTCGTGGGCTTAAGCAATTCTCTTGCCTCAGCCTCCCAAGTAGCTGGGACTACAGGCATCCGCCACAATGCCTGCCTATTTTTAGAGACGAGGTCTCACTCTGGCTCAGGCTGGTTTCGAATCTGTGAGCTCAGACAATCCACCCACATTGGCCTCACAAGTGCTGGGATTATAGGCATGAGCCACCATGCTGGTCCTTTTTTTTGAGACAGAGTCTCACTCTGTTGTCCTGGGTAGAGTGCTGTGGCTTCACAGCTCACAGCAACTTCAGACTCCTGGCAATCCCCTTCCCTCAATCTCCCAAGTAGCTAGGACTACAAGCATTCGCCATAACACCCAGCTAATTTTTCCATTTTTGGTAGAGACAGAGTCTTGCTTTTGTTCAGGCTGGTCTCGAACTCCTAAAATCAATCAATCCAGAATGCCAAGATTACAGGCCTCCCAGAGTGCTAAGAGTGGCTCCCAGTGAGCCACTGCACCCAACTCTATCTCCCTCTTAAACACACATAACATCCTCTTTACCCAAAGCATTTGTTCCTTGTTTTACCCCTTAAATGTGATGGCCATTATTTTGTGACTGTCTGTTATAAGCTTGGCAGTTGACATCGATTTTTTTGTTTTTATTTATTTATTTATGTATTTTTTTGAGACAGAGTCTCACTGTGTTATCCTTGACAGAGTGACAGGGTATCACAGCTCACAGCAACCTCAAACTCCTGGGCCCAAGCAATTCTCCTGCCTCAGCCTCCCAAGCAGCTGGAACCACAGGTACCCGCCACAACACCCAGCCATTCCTCTGCTGCAGTTGTCATTGTTGTTCAGCTAGCCTGGGCTGGGTTCAATCACACCAGCCTCAGTGCATGTGGCTGGTGCTGAAACCACTGTGCGGATGCACAACCACATTTTCTTTCTCCACTCTAGAGACGACACTTAAATTAAGTCTTGAGGATTAGGAATCTGCCTGGCAGAAAAAAGGGAGAAGGCATTTTAGACTAAAGGTATAGAAGTGCAAAGGCAAGTGGAAGTATACGTTTTTTAAAGAGCAAAGAATAAATCAAGGTGCTTCAACATAACATGATAAAAATAGAGAGAAAATGGGAATAACATCTAAATAGAATTTGTATCATAAGCAGGTAAGAGGTTTCAAGGATAGAGGAGGTATGAGAACTGGAAAAAGAGATTAAGAAAGGACTAGGAGGCTCGGCGCCTATAGCTCAACCGGCTAAGGCGCCAGCCACGTACACCTAAGGTGGCGGG